GCTCTCCAGTGTCCTTCCCAGAAAAGATTCTACTTTGTATGCTTGAAGCGCTTCCTTCCTGGCAGAAAAGGCCCCTATTACAGTAAGAGGGCAGAGATTGCTGAACAGCTCTTGGCTCTTGTGTCCCAGAATTTTGTAATTTCTTCTTCTTGGAATTGACTGTCCTTTTTCCCAAGACAACGTAGCTGCCTCTTTCATCCATGAGTATGGTAAAGCTGTGTGCATGGGGACAGTGTGATTCTGTGTACAGCCACCTCATTGCCCGTTTGAAATACAAGTGATTCCCTTTCCCTGCTCCACCCGACAAGACCACAGCAATGTAGAAAACCACCAGTTCCCTGATCTGACCCATCCGCCCCTTTCCTGTGGGCTCACAGAGTGAGGGACATTAACGTGAAACATCTGCTTAGAGTGCTCGTGGCTCTGGGCTCTTCGTGCAGGTTGGCTCTGGGGGGGCTGTTTTCATTATCGAACTGGATTAAACCTGGTGATTCACTGTTGGTGCAGTGCCCCAGAGCTCAGCATATTTCTCTGCAGTAGTAATGAGTTTGGGCCACGTGTTTTTCACTGTTGTTCTCATAACTGTTTTGAGGTCTCTGCTGCTCACTGACAGTCTCTTCTGTGGATTTTTCCAGCTGCGGCCATTGTTATCCCATGTTTGTCAGCAGTGGTGTCAGGCTATGGTAAGTGTCCTTCCTGCTCTGCGTGGCAGCCTTTGGCCTCGTAACTGACCTTGGTGTGGACTTGGCTCAAACACAGAACTGACCTCAGGCTTAGTGATGCATCAACAGCAGTGCTCGTGTCTTGGGTCCACCTGAGATCCACGTGTTGGACCAGTGACTCTGGCTGCTGCTTGGCTTTACAAAAGGCCTCTTTCCCCCCCAGGTGCACTCACAAAGCAAGCACAAATGTGCGTTACAGCAAACTGCTCCTCCACAGTCTGTGTGTGTAACTCTGAAGCGATAACCACAGCTGCAGGAGGGAGGCTAAAGCCTAGAAAAGAGCCCTTCCCGGTCACTTGTACACTGCGTGGTCAGTACAGCCAGCGATCCCTGACTGCAGTTACCCCTCAACCGCACTGTGCTTTGCTGCAGGGAGGCAAACCAGCTGTGTGACATGGGAGGTGCTGCAGCCTTCAGCTCCTTCCCTTCTATGAATGTCCTGCACAGAAGGGAGCTAAGTCAGTCAGGCTGCTGAGGATAGGACAATATCCTGACCCTGGAAAATGCAGAAACATCCTGCAAGGGAGCACAGGAAAAAAACCAAACTGCCATGTGCCTGTTTCTGAAAACCATCAGCATTCCATAATGTAGAGCTTCAGTGCTAACCAACAGCAGGGACCAAGTGAGCACCAGTCTCACACTTGAGTTTTGTGCTGTGTAACAGAGCTTGTTACAGCTTATTTCTGGTTATGATTAAAAAGATGGGGAACGACAGGCAAAGAATTAAGATCGTGGGCAAAGGCCGCAAACAGCACTGAGCCAGGAATGGCCTGGCTGCCATTGCTGCCAGCAGTAAAATGATTTCTTTCTGATTCCTTAGAGAATACTTTCTACTAAAACCTTCTGGGTGTGTGGTACTGGTTGCTACGTAACCTTGTAAGGCGGCTGTAGCTGTGTTGCCATCCGTGGATGACGTGGCTCCTTCTTTAGCTTTGGTTTCGGTGGTTGCCAGCACTACAGTGCTTGCTGAGGCAAGAAAAAAAAAAGTAAGGCTTTGCTCATTGATGTCATATGGATGTTGCTCTTACTTAACCTGCATCCATGTGGCTGTAGTTGCTGTACACCTGTGCCTCCTCAGCAAAGCTGCTGTACTGTGTAAAGCTGGTTTTGTTCAGGGTGGGTGGGCGCACTGCAAGTTGTCCATGAACAAGCCCTGGTGTTTTTCCAGTGAAGCAGTCGTCTTGATCCTGGTGGAGGGGAAGCAAATGCAGCTTGGGCAGTGAGGGTGACATGAAAGGAGGGGGAGCTGCAGGTGGGGGATACCTCCAGAAGAACAAGGCTCCATGGACTACAGCAGTGCCATCTCCTGCGCCCTTTCCCTGCCCCAAGTAAAACCTCCACACTGATAACAGGTCTCTGCTTGTGCAGGCTCTGCCAGCCAGAAGGGCCGAGTCATGGGGATCCTGCGGAGCCTGGGTGCCCTCGCCAGAGCCCTGGGACCAATCCTGTCAGCCACAGGTGAGTGCAGCCCCGTGCTCCTTCCTGCCTTTGTCTTCATACAGCATCACACTGGGCCCCCACAGCCTGGGTGGGGCTGAAGGAAAAGGGGAATGGGAGGATCAGCACCACTCTGAGCCACAAAGTTGTCTCTGCAGAAATGGGTACCCCTGAGAGTTGCAGCCCTTATTAGCACCAGTGGAAGCCTTGTGAATGAGTTTTAAAAGTTCATATAAGCAGAGATAAACTAGCCAAAAGGTATTGCCCAACTCTCTAAACATGCCAGCAACAGCATCAAACTAACCAGCCCTGGGTGCAGCTGTGTAGGCAGAGGAGCACCAAGAGGTCCTGGCCCTAGGCTACAGGGGGACACAGAAGCTGACCAGGAACCCTTGTCCTTGCTGGGCTTATTTTTTTTAGCCACATTAGCAAGTACCCCCTGCACAGGGTTCAGTTCCTGTAAAGGCACAGAACACAGAGAAGCAGCCACGGCATCAGTTCAGAGCTGAACTCAGACCCAATGCTAAGCTTGAGCAAAGCCAGGCCCCGTTTCCTAGGGATTGGCTCCCCGAGTGTTTCACATAAGGAGATGGATACCAGCAGTGAGACCTTCAGCACCAGGAGCTGCCATGGAGGAGGTGCTGGGGCAGAGTAGTTGCCTTATGGCTAAAGCTGACTGCATGAATAGGAACTTCCCTATGAATAGCCTATTTAAAATAATCACTTTTAACATGCTCATTCCTCGAAAGAGAACCAGCACTGCTAGTAGCTGCCTCCTCCTCCTCATAACTTGTGTGCCAGCAAGGATGTGCAATGGAAGATGAGTAGTTCTGTGCTCTCCAGTTGTGAGCTGTAGAGAGCAGCAGCTTTGAGGGGCAGATTACATTGGTGCAAGGACACAAATCATAACCAGCTCGGTCTTGTTTCCTTTGCAGTTTACTGGCTGGCAGGGGCAGAGGTTTGCTTCACACTTTGTGGAGGTTTGTTCCTCATCCCCTTTGTTTTACTTGGTTCTGTGAGACAGCAGAGAAAGGAGGAGTAGGGAGCAACCACAGAACCATCACTGGCTGCTGGGGACCTCTACGCACCTGGCCCTGGGCACCTGGCTCTGCTGATCAAAGAGGAAGAGGAGGATTTTGATCTTCTGGATGGAGATAAGCAATGAATGTTTGCAGCAACAAGAGATTTTGAGTTTCTTATTGCCCTCCACAAGCAGTTCTCTTTGTTGGCCTCCACAAGCAGCTTGGCTATTTTTGCAAATAGAAAACAAACCAAAAAAAACCAACCGAAGTGAGTAAAACATGAAGATCATCAGACAGCAGAGACCAGCACGACAGCAACACAGCCCAGTGCAGCCCCTGTCCACCATCGGGTGATGCTGAACCCTGCAGCATGGTGCACAGCACTCTCCTCTGCTCCTCTCCCTCCCTCACCAGCACAAAGCTGCTGCCCGAAGCCGCTGCAAATGTGACTGCGGTGTCTGCTTTCAGGCAGCAGAGAACAGCTCCACAGGGCAGCTCCATCAGGAGCTACACAATTGTCACCAGATCTGCACCACATCAGTGGACCTGGTAAAAGCTGCACCAACGCCTTAAACTACGACCACCAGAAGCAAAAGCAAGAAGCACAGCACAGGCTTCCTGAGCCTGACTGATACTTGGCACAGGTGGACTGGTTTTAAAATACAATTAAATTTTTATATTTCTAATACTGTGTGATGTTTTTTGGTGACCAAGCACTGTTCGTTTTGCATTACAAATAAACTGTTACATTGTCTGCCCATCCAGTTACTGACAGTTCAGATGTTACTGATGGCTGCTTGGCTGAGCTGAAATGGGGTCCAGAACTGTACCCAGGGCACCTCGGGCCTCTTGGAGGGAGCCAAGCCAGGGTAGGGTGGCAAGACCAGTGGGGGAAGGACCCCTGCACCAGCTCCTGCTGCTGCTCAGCTGGGAAGGAAGCCCTACAGTAACCAACTTGAGCATTCACTGAGAACACCTTAAATCAATCATTAATCAACTCATTAAACATTGAAAGAAAGTAGAATTAAATTCAACAGGTTACAGCTGTAGAATTTAAACTGTACAAGCTGTAGAATAAAATTGTGCAAGTTTTGAAAGCAAAGCAGGAAAAGACTTTTTTTTTTAAAGAGTTTTATTTGTGAGTAGAACTTAATGATACAAGAAAAAGAAAAATACAGGACTTTATTCTGCCCCAGAGTGTGTAACCATACCATACATGACTACATTTCATATTGTAATACAAAGAATTAAAAGAACAAACTACAAAATTAGAAATTAAGAGTCATTGCATATGTGGTCAAGATAAATGGAGGGACTCCATTAAAGAACTGAAACATAGAGCAATTAGTCATTTAGTTACGACCCTGCGATAAAACACAATTTAGCAAAATAAGTGTAGTATGTATGCTTCCTAGTGTACAGAGGACATACAAGGTTAAAGTAGAAGCTGAAAGCCATTCGTGCCATGCAGTCCTGACTGACCTCTGCCGCTCAGGGGCCTCCTGCACAGAGCTTTGCGCTCCTCAAGAGGGGACATCGCTGTCTCCTGTCACCACCCCCAAACCTCTCCTCTCGTCTGCAGCCTCACAGCTCTCCTCCTCCTTCAGCTGGTTCCCCCTCAGCGCCTGGCCCAGCCCGAGGCACCACAGCACCCCCAGCCCCACGCAGGCCTCGTCCTCCAGAGCTGTCTCCAGCCGCTCCTCCCACCTTCCACCCGATGCTTTCTGCTGCATGAAAGTAAGGCATTAGTTTTCTGCTATTTTACCAACTGCGATGTTTAATGTTGTCCTAAAAGGTTACATCCCTATCCTGTTTTGTGACAGACGCTTACTGTGAGTCAGTGTTTCCCTCTCCCACATGGGTGTCGATGCTTTCTGCCGTGAACACCGGGAACGCTAAAACACTACAAACCAGAAAGGGTCCCAGCCTTCCCCACTTCTGGCTGGGGAAATTACACACCATGCCTGGAGGATTCCTGCAAGCTTCACCTACCTGATCTTCAACTACTGGTACAAGGATTAGTGATAGACAGAAGCACGGCAGTAACTGGAAATAGTGAGTGCAGTGGTGAAAGTGATTTTCTTTACCATGCTACATATTAAACATTTAGAGCAAACTGTGCAAATACACCATTAAGGGTACTTGGGATTTCTGTACTTTACTGCTGGCAACAACAACAACAACAAAAGAAAAATGAAAAGAAATGCCAGTTTTTGTAAGTTAAAATAATTAATATAAAAAGGTTCAATATTCAGTGTAATGCATTTACATTTTTATCATGGGAAGGAACAAAAACAAAAGGCCAGAAACAGGGCTTATGTGCAGCCTATTTGCACGGGCACCCAAGGGACTTTTAAGAGGGTGAAAAAGCCCTGTGCTAAATACTTTTAATACAGTTACTTTTCAACCTTTTCTAGCAGCCAAATTCCCCTGTGTCTGATTCTTAGGGAGGCAAGACTGAAAGACAGATTTCCCTTAAACTGTATTCACTAGGAAAAGAAAAAAAGATTGGGCTCTTTCAACGCACAACATGAGCAGAACACACCACAGTTATTTCAGTCCTAGACAAAGATGACTTCAAGTGCCAGTTACAGAACAGAACAAAGTGAAAACCACCTTCATTTTGTCACAACAGAGGAGAAAGAGGAAGGATGGGCAGCCGAAAGCTTGCCTGAAACATGGTCTGTAATCACAAGCTTGCAGAGTTTACCTGTCAGTTCCAGAACACATCTCCCTTGAAAACACCACTGCAAAAGCATCCTCTCTACAAGTCAGCATTTAAGAGAAAATTCACTTGTGCCTCGGAACAGAACATTGGAAAAGAACACTTCTTGTGGTAAGCAATGCGTGCTGCATTTTTAATTGTGGGGGTTTTTTTTATTCTTTAGTAAAGCAGCGCAGGCTTTAAATTAAAAATAGTGATTCAACACCTTTCATGTAGAAGTCATTGATATTTGATTACAAATTAGGGATCAGATCTGTGGCAGCTGCTGAAAGCACAGGATTAGCACCTTTTTGGACATTAGTTTCTGGTTATAACCTTAAACAATCAAGCCATAACTTGAGGGGCTGGTTGGATTACTTGCTGCATTCATTTACATAGTAAGACAAAACACTCAGTACGATCTGGTACATTCTAGTGGTTAATGGATTTTAAAATATGACAGTGTTTCTGCAGTGTGTTTGGCCTTTAGGAGTCACTCTTCTTTTTGCTCTTCTTCAGGAAGGAAGGAGTGCGAAACTTCTTTTTCTTTTTCGATGGGGACTTCCCTGGGGATTCGTCACTACCTGCATCCGCCACCGTCCCCTCCTCCGCCGTCGGTGTCACTGGCTCTTCAGCTGCTTGGGACTGGGGCTCCTTGTTTTCCACTGCAGGTGGTTCCGTTTGGCTTTTGGGCACATCTTCATCGCATCTCCCTTCCTCCTTTCCTAAGGGAGGGAAGCTGAGTGCTTCTGAAGGCTCATCAGGGGTGAGATCTGGGAGAGTTTGCTTGAAAGTTGCAGCGTCACTGTCATCTCTGTAAGTCTGCTCCTGCTGTGTCTCTAGTGGACGGACAGACAACCGCACAGTTAGTGTGTATAAGTGTCCCCAGGACAGAGAGCCAAGCAAGGTGAGGGTGGGCGCTCGTTATAAAAAAAACACTAATAAATTTACTTTGCGTAAAAGCCTTTGCAATAGGTCTGTTCTCGTCTAGCTTTGGGCACAGAGAAAAATCAGCTATTCAAAAGTTTTGTTTATTTTTAAGCTTTTTACCACAGAACAGATACAGCTGAACTCCATCATGGGAGTAAACCAGCAAGAAATTTTTCACATTTTTCATTTAGTACAGTGAGCAGGAATTAAACCTACGGTTTCCATTGGTATTGAAGAAAGTGTCATGAAATTGTGTATCTTGGTTCTTTTACTTTTGGTGGGATAAAACCAACTGCTGGTTTGCAGTGACCTGATACACAGAAACACAATAGCATCAAATCCACCGATTTCTAAATTGTTGGTATGCCAATTTTTAATGACAATGCTTGGATTTTCATAATATTCTTCCATGAGATTTGACAGATGTTGCTTCCAAATATGATTTCCTAGCACAAAGGCTTCACTGCTTTTGCAAGATATGAGTATATATTATGGACTCCTATAAGTAAAATCCATGTAGTTTATCTGATTAAATGAGCTCAGCAGGTTATGCGATGCAACTTTTTTTTAAGAAAAAGTGTATGTGATGCCTAACAGCAAAACTCACCCCAGGGTAAAGGAACATCAAAGATCTAGCAACAACCTTATGTCTAAAGGTCAACATGACCACTGCTCCCCTCATTCACCGCCGTGCTTTAGAGATGTTCTGCTTAAGGCTCCTCTTTGTGCATGGCGATTTAACAAGGAGCACTTTTCAAAGCTCCCTGGAGTGTCCATCACTGCTCTGTAGCTGAGGCGTCTCTCTTGAGCTGTGTCAAACATCCCCACTGATGTTACGTAAGGAGGAATTTAGAACAGAATCCAGGCCATGCTCCTTGCAAGGCACAACAGACAGACAACTATTTTTTTTCCCCTTTAAAATTCTTGTTCATTTTCATTTGAAAAGACTGAAGGCTTTCAGAAGAATTTACTGAAAATACTTGATACTTCCCCATTTTTCCTACATAAATGACAATGAGTCTCCTTTTCATTTCTGCCAGGTGGGATTAATAATCTTCTAATATATTTTAGAGGGCTCTGTTCCGTGAATACCTGCTAGAAAAGCCAGCACGTTTTGCCTAGAGCACCATGAATAGGTTAAATAAACAAAACACAGCAGTATTCAGTGCCGAACACTCGAATGCACAAGTTAGCAGTTTAGAAGTTATAATGCAGGCAGGATTTAAAACAGTAAAAAAGAGAAAGCGATTATGTACATCACACGCTGCCTCCTGAAGCTCTACTTGAACCCCTACCACAAATTCCTCAGAAGCACCACCTACAATTCTTCACTACGCTCTTTCTGGAGTTCATTTTACTTTTCAGGAATTAACCAGAAGCATTGCTGATCTCTTCCCCCTGGGATCCAGTGATAGGACACGCGGGAATGGTTCAACGCTGCGCCAGGGGAGGTTCAGACTGGACACGAGGAAGCATTTCTTTACCAAGGGGATGGTCAAATACTGAACAGTCTTCCTGGAGAGGTGGTCAATGCCCCAGGCCTGTCAGTGTTTAAGAGGCATTCGGACAATGCCCTTCACAACATGCTGTAACTTTTGGTCAGCCCGGAACTGCTCGGGCAGTTGGACCTGATGGTTGTTGCAGGGCCCTTCCAACTGAAATACTCTATCCATGGCCCAGTTTTTAAAGCAGGCACCATATCAGATCGTCAGTCAGTTTTATTTTATCTTTTCAAAAGAAGGTTAAAATGAAGTTTTTTAAAGCTTTTAAAAAGGGATTCAAAATTCTTAAAGCATAGGAAGCTACAGTCATTCAAACAGCAATTGCCACACTTGGCCTGAGCACTGGATAAATAGAAACAGTTTTATACCTCATTAATCCAGGACTGCTATCCTTCCCAGTCTGTCAAATTACCATCATTGTAACTAAATGGATTAATGTTATTTTGGAATCAAACAAACATTTGTTTCTGTAGCTCGCCAAGGGCACTATGTTACCAGAACTAGGGAGATTTACAAATTCCACATTTGATAAAGCAAGTGTGTAATATGTGAACGCCTTGCTATTCTACCTGATGGATTTCAGTAACGTAACTAGGAAGGTTTAAAAACAGATCTTGCTGCAAAATCTATTTACAGTTTAAGAACTCAGCAGTACCTCAAAATTTCTTCAGTATTTTAGAATAATCACATCTACATCCATGCTCTCCCTTTATATATACTGTAGCATAAGAGTCTGAAAAGTCACATTAATACTGGTGTGTGTTTACAATTCACATTCTTCATGAAAATAAAGGTTTACTTTTTTTAAACACACAAACATGTGGACAAACATACAAACGAGGCTGTAACTGAGTTAACACACAACACTTTTCTGACTTCAGCTACACTTAAATAGAAACAATACGAGGAAAAAAACTGGAGAAGTGGCCATATACAGAGAACATCTCATTCAACAGAACTTCTGCCAACCAAAGTCATCATGGTGTCAACTTCCAGTGACTCTAAAATAAGTTTTGTATGTTTGTCCTGGAAAACTCACACAATTAGAAGTGTTGCTGGAACTCAATTCTCAGTTTAAAAGAATTTTCAGGTTTTAGAACATTATTAGTAACGTCACAGTTGTCTACAATGTTGTTTGACTTCCATATCTAAGACAAACACACTGACTTTTGGATAGAACAGGACATACAAGGGGGGCAAACATCCTCATTACTGTAAAGCATAATCTGATGTAGCCCCGCAGATGTAGCTGAAACAGCTCTAGAAGTTGCTGCCACCGACCACTTGCTGTTAATCCTTGGGTGAAATTTGAGTTTCCCTACAGCTGACACACATATATAACATAGGGGCAGTTCCAGATCCACCTCTGCGCAGAAGTGTGCTGGGCGAGTTCACATCAGCGTCAGGGGTAACACTTCTGCACTGGAATAGATGAGGAACTTTCTTCCACTTCATTACCAAGGTCCAAGTTGTGCAGCAGCAGCAGCAAAGTGTTGGGGCAGAAGCTTCCAGGGCTATTTCAGCTATAGCTGAAAGACCACCTCAGACTATTCCTTTTTGAACTGGGGAATCGGACACAGAGATATGGAAACACATGATGTCACTTCACAGTGTCTTTCAAAGGGGGAGTGCACTGTAACATAAGCTCTGTAACCACCTCAAATTTCAGAAATCAAGAGCTAAAAGAAATCAACGTCTCAACTGAAAAAGCTTGCTTTAAAAATAAAGCAAAACCAACAAAAAGCCTTAATAAACAAAAGACACAGGAGTGAAGCAAAGCACATAAGCAGGTCAGAGTATGGAATGATACTTACTATGGTAACAGGTACTCTTTAGCATATCCATCTCCTGCTTGTAACGCAGCCACAAGAAGAAAAAAGCACAAGTAGAGAATCTATGCATTCATCACAGCCATTGTGTTAAGTTAGAAGAATGGTTGCAACCATTCTTATAGGAAACAGAATGAGATGAAGTAGTGAATGGAAGACCAACAGACAAGTGATAAATCCAATGTACGAGGTAAAGGAAACAAGACAAAAATTAGATTACACCTGTTCAAGATCGTTATTTTGTCCTTTTTAAGGAAACTGTAGACTTTAGCAGCCCTGCTCTCATTTTAGTTAAAACTACTACATAAGGTGAGCAAATAATGGTATTTGGATTCAAATTGAGCTGGAAAAAATATTTACCGAGGTGTAATCCAAGTACAATAATGTTTAAGAAATGTGCAATCAGTGAAGGAGATTTACCAAAGCATCTAAATCTGTGTCTGGTTCACCGTCAGACACTATTTCCTTTCATGAGAGCAATTCTTTCTTGCAGTAAATGTACAAAAGAATAAATCAGTTGAGAAACACGACGAGATGGCAAGGCAATTCCGAAGAGATGAAAATTGGTCTTTAGATTAATGCACACTTCTTTATTATTGTAAATGTAACTCCTATTACACTCACAGTTCAGTGTTACAGATTTTAGGTAGTATAAAAATAAAATAGAAGAAATAATTTACCTTTATTGGACACTAATTCATATATTTTCATGCATCAGTCGCTAATGATAGTTACTGGTTTCCCCTGGCCCCTAAATCAGAAGAACATACCTTCCTCTATTTTAATCGGCGTACTGGGAGGAGTGCGAGCTGAAGTGTGATCAGAGGGACTTCTCTCTTTCTGTTGCCTGCCATCTTCTGAAGGTTCTGCAGATGTGGACAAAGAGGAAATAAAAACACAGACAAAACCTTTCAGCACATGAGACAACAAAAGTGCCCTTTTGCGCCACACACACAACATACAAATACATTTTTCTGAATCAAAATCCTGCCAGGATATTAAATAATACCAAAACAAGCAAAAGAAAATTAAGTGATAGTTTGATATCAACAAAACTGTTGAAGTCACCATTAAGCTCTGTGGTAGGTTAGTTTGGTTTGTCCCCCCCATAAGGAGGCATGAGTAATGTAATTGTTTATGGATTGGTTTATCACAGTGCTCTAGAGAAAACTTGTGAGGAAAAAGCACAAGGAAGATATAAACACATACGGGGTGGGAGGGTGTATGCTATCAGATCTACACAAGATAACACTCTTTTGCTTGCTTTGTTTTGTTGAAACTCAGAGTAAACAAAGTCACATCCTCAAAGAAAGGACGACTGCACAGATAATCAGAGAAACATGCAGTAATTAAATGATTCAAAACAGATTTCACAGTAGTTTGCACATTTGTGATTAGTAAGGAGGCCCCCCTTGCTTCCAGTTTTAAACAGCCCTAGATCCATAGGAAAACATTACCAGAGTACACCAGGAACAGTGAGAAAACATTGTTCTGTACGGTTCCCCTGGACAATTAAAAGTGAAATCAGTCCCACAGAGGAGTCAACTGACAGAATCTCCAGAAGCTGTTCCTTAGATCACAAGCACAACTGTACCGTACCAGGAATACCTGAGGCCTCAGCCAAGAGGTCAAGATTGGACCTTAATGCTTTGATCACTGCAGAATGAAATTCCTCACGGGAGGCCTCCTGCCCACCTGGCTCTTCTCGGTCAGGATGGGTGATGACTTGCTGCGTGGTCTGACAAGAAACCCATGCAGCAGCAACCTGAGTGTCATCTAAAGATTCAGACAGCGATGATGCGTCACGATGCTGTAAAGTCTTCGTATCTGTTCCTTGAAAGGTTTTTGATCTGCCTTTCAAATCCAAAGATTTTTTTTTTAATCTGATGTATTTTGCTCACTGATGGCCTGATTTCTAAGCACTGTACTCTGTTCCCCAGCTGGTGTCTGTCTCAGTAACACAGTCTCTCCATACTTTGATATCTTATCTAATGAGGGCGTAGCAATGTTACTGAGAGAATAAATCTATGCAGCTATACAGCAGAGCATCTTACCCCACACAGCCCAATACTCCATTAACTGAACACGTACAATCTGCGATGGCTCCTACATCGTCTTATCAAAAAGCAGGAGCAGGGAGCACACAAAATCAGGAATGGTGCTTCCAGTTCCTGCAATTTAAATTCAAAACCTAACAACAGTTGCGTGTAGGTATCATCCCTTACACCTATACAGAAGGAAGGCAGGAGAACCACTTCAGATGTATCAATGATCTCTTCTGACAGTGCAATCCTCTCATAATTCTATGATAATTTAGGAAGTCTGTTTTGGGGGAAGTCCCCAAGATGTGCCATTTCCAATCAAATGTTGTTCTGTATCGTCCCCATTCAACGGATTTATCAACTCCACAATTTTCCATGGGTTAGAAAAGTGCAGTTTTGCTGCTAAAAAACATCATCATTGACACTTTGATTGCCAATTCTATCTCCAATACGCTTTTTAAATTTCTAATTTAAATTTCTAACTGAAAAAACTGAAATACGCAAAAGCTGAATAATTTATCCATGGCCTTTGCAGGTAACCCATCTTCCAACTAGTAATAAATTTGCAGTTATTATAGTCCATGGCAGAAAAAACACACACAGAGAAACCAACCTTCTGGTCCCTTCTGCTTTCTTTCTACTTCTTTGCGATATTCTTCCAGTTCTCGATCAGTGAGTTTATTGAAGGGATTTGGTCCCGTTGTGCTCACGATGACTTTTGGCTGATATTCTTTCTCAATTATTGCCTTTGACGCAGTCACCAGTTCTCCCTGACAAAAGAAAATTAAGATACATCTGCAATCGAGGAGTAACTTACAGAACCCTGAGAAGTACAGAGGCTACAAAGCAAGCAAAAACAAAACAAAAAGATAAGGCTACAGTTATTTTCTTCTGGATTTAAAGAAATCTACTACAGGATTTAAAACCAAAATAAATTAATAAGCAGCAGGTTAACATAAAGGAGCAGACAGGTGTCACCAATTAGTCTTACAGACACATCAGTGTTTCCACCAGGGAATATCCACGATTAACCAGTGAGTCAAAGAGCAGCCCAGCAGTCTACCTGAATTTTATCTGAAGTCACAGAAGTATAATTTTTTTCTTCTCCCCAAAACAGAAATGGGATGCCAGCCCCAACTGCACAGCAATCTGGGCACAGATTACCCGCAGAAGGTAAGAGGACTCAGCTGATGGGGATTTTTGTCTGTGGCTTGTTTTGGGTAGGTTTTCTTTTTGGTTGTTTAGTTGGTTTTTTTGCTTTCAGGAAGGAAAAAGCCACTTCTAGTAGCTACTATGTAACATCTAACAGGTGTTACAGTAAAAAGCCATCTTGTACTGTTCTGTATACACCGGATCAATAGTTCATTGCAGGCAATTTTAAGTAATTAAGGTTAACTGTATTCTTATACAAGTTCACATATTTACATCTATAACATTTTTCATACAAGCCAGAAAAATATTACACAAATAAAAATAAAACACTAGCAATTCTAAACACAGTAAGTTCTAGTGGACAAAAAGCAGCTGCATCAGAGATTCTCTAATGGTTTTAGTTTTTCTTCTCTAAAATCATATAGCAAAGACTAAAGCCATTGGCTTTTCCTTGTGTTGGCCACAGAAAATGCTTTGCCTGGATACCTGTGGTGTCTTTCAGGTGACCTGTTTAAGCATTTGGTATCTTACCACTGGATATACAGAACTCTACTGACACTGGTTTGGAAATGACTGGATGTGTGGTCTGTGCCTCATGTCATTGTGGTACCAGAATTGCCTTCACTGTTGAAAAGAGGTACTTGAATTCCATTACCCAATAAGTACGGGTTATCGATTGGCCCAAGTCACCTTCATATTCAAATGCTGTTTGCACCAATATTTAGAGGAATGCATTAGAAAGCAAAGTTCAAAAGTAAATAGCACCCAAAGAGACAAACAGTCCATTCCACATCCATACTTGCGGGACAAGCATCAGATCTTCACTGTTAATCTAAAGATGAAATTAGGCAGAGTACTGTTCTGGATGCGAAGAGCTGCTTTGGACACACTGACAACACCAAAAAGGTGACAGACAAGAATGCCCAGATGGAATGAGGACACGAGCAGTCAGAGATTTCTGAAAGCCGCATGAGATCTCTCCAGAAGTCCAGCCTAGAGCAATCCTGGGAGGTAAGGACACCTGGTTGTTGGAACCCGTGCTGCTCTCCAGGAAGCAAACACCAGCCAGAAGTGCTGAAAACAACAGCGTAACAGCAAGTGTCTGCTGTAAGATCCTGAAAGGAACTGCAGGAGAGAAACATCGCTAAAACATTATGGCTCGCCTCCGTTTCCCCATAAAATAAGAGGAACCCTTGTCTCAGATGCCGGTTGTCAGCAGAAGGTCAAAAGCCTTTTCTCAACTATTCTCATTAAGCACCAGCTATCCTAAATACCAGAAAACCTCCAATTTGATAGTCACGGCTTTTCTTACAGAATAACACATTTAAAGAGTCACAAAAACATCAACCTTTGTACAAATCCTAACTGTTTTGTAGAAAACATAAAACACTCCCAACAACTGCAGGTCTCAGCTTTTAATGCTTGAAAAGCACTGATCTCAAGAGTTTCTAGCGTTTTCTAGGATCTCAAAAGTCAGAAGAACAAGACATACAGGGCACACACTGGTATCCCTGGAACGTTTAAGAATCTTTGAATCTTGTCTGCAAGTTACATCCAAAATGACTGCGTAAAACAAGTCTCACATGAAGGGGAATTTTACTGAATGCCTACTGATTTATAACAACAAACCGCAAGACACGCAGTTTGCGCCAAGATGGCTGGTGCACTGCCATGATGTGTTCTCTTCCTTAGGAGAGTACCTCTCCTAACTACTAGGAATAAAAGCTTATCACATCTTCTTAATTTAAAAAACAAGCCAAAATCAAACACACACAGAAACCACACCTGCAACTACAGCAAACAGTATTTGTACTTGCTGAGTATCTTTGACCCAAGAGAAATAATACTGAAAAAGATCAGAGGCAACAACAGTAAGCGGATTATGTATTACAAAGAAAAAGCACTTGTGTTTTTGGACTGTAAGAGCCAAGAGACCAGAAAGGCAAACTTTTGATCTGCTAAAAGCTGTCTCCAGATTAACACGTCCAGTTTTGCTCAGTATCAATAATATGGAAGCAGTTCAAAGGCCACTAATGAAAACTGTACAGGTAGAGGAACTGATTCTAGAGGGAAAATAAACTATAGTGGTATGTTAGTAAGTTCTGCAGCATGACTACTCTAAAACATGGACAAATCACAAATGCAGAGATGCATTGCTTCACAGAACAGACTGCAGAGCAGCCTTCCAAGAATTCATATCAAAATATACAGCACAAAATGAAGAGAGTGACATGGGACAGAAGGCAGACTAGTACAAAGGACTAAAAAGACAGTACAGGACATATTTCAGATTGTTAAATGTGATACTAAAATAGACAAGATTTTGCAGTGCTATCAACCTGTCCGTGCCATTCAGATTCCTATGAATGTTCAGAAAAACTGAACATGAGAATTGGTCTGGAGTCGCTTTCAGCATTAGAGAGCCTGTAGAGGGGGAATAAATTCCCATATAAAAGACTGGCACTCTGTTTCAACACAGGATGACACACAAAAACCCAATGTTCTAGTGATTTAATCAGGATTACATCGATACTAGTTTTATTTTGATGGTGATTCTAGTATTATTTTGATGACTATCTGGAGTTTGATTGCAAGTGTAAGCACCTGAGTATCAACAGCATTTTCTCCATTGTAAGAAGTAATGGATAGAACACGTTCATGAACAGAATATATTTGCACTCCTGAGAATTTCGTAGGGGCATACTCTTCCACAAAGATCCAACACTGGAAAAGTAATTTACAGCTAATGATATACAATATACAGAATCACAGAAAGTTAGGAGTGGGAAGGGACCTCAAAAGATCATCTAGTCCAACACCCCTGCCAGAGCAGGATCACCTAGATACCTTCATACTAAACTTGGATCTCACATGTCCTGCAAGGAAATTTTAGACCATTTAGTCATTCTGCAACTTCTCCACCAAATCTTGCTGTCAGATAAAAATCAAAAATTGCTATGAAGTGACCATCATTTAACAGGCAAGCATTTCATCTTGTTCTCAGGAATAGAGATGAGCAAAACTGGCACCCTATAAGTGCCAATTCTTCTCTTAATCAGCCAGTAGGTTAATAATAGTCTAAAATTAACTACTGCTCTTAATTTGGCATTAATGCAGTGCCTTTATCCAAAAAACCCAAGATTTTTAAAGTACTGTTCATGTGGAAAACACCACATGAAACTGGAAAAGTGCCACCTCTGGGGCAGAACTGAGAGGCTCTTTCTGAAGAGCAAAGCCACAGAATTTGCACTCTAAAGGAAGATGCAAAATTGGCGATTCTCCCTTGTACTTTAAATTCTTGAAAATTCACATGAATTTATTTTTCAAAAATCAGATTTCAGAGTAGTCATTGGTAAGAATAACCAACACTCCCTCTCATTCAGCCAAGACTGCAGCAGAAGCTTGGTTAACAGAGCCTATAACATGACTAAAATTACATGATGCACAAGGAGTTTGTGTTGCAACACGGCCAGGACTTCTCAGAACATGGACAAAGCAAGTGACAAGGCCAAATGCAATATTTACCACTGCAGCCATAGGCACAGAAGACTCAAAGCATGACATGCATACTGTCACAAACAGGACTTTTTTCATCCAAAACAGTGTGCACTAGTATTTATTTTATTAGTATATACATCTCAATGCTAGCTGAAAACATAATACATTTTAAGCGCTACTGTAATCAGGCAGAACTTTTTACTTTAACTGTAATTAGGTATCAAAAGAAGTTGTCAACCAAGAGCTTGTGATTATCTGGTACCTAAAAGTCCTTAAGTCCCTGATGTACAGGTCTCCTCAAAGTCTCATTCAAAGTTTCACATGAGGTTTATGTGGGCATCATAAGATTGCTTTTAATTACTTTGTTCCACAATACATGACTGATTTTTTGCATAATCTTTCTAGAAAACATCTCTGGTGGGTTTTTTTTGGCAGAGGTTTTTTGGGTTTTGGTCATGTTTCCCCCCTTCCCCCCCCCCCACCCCCCCGACAGAAAGATCATGAAATAGGCCACTCCTACTGTAATTAACAATGTGATCTAATTTCACACAGTATTTCAGGAGGAAAGCACTTTCATGACTCCACAAAAAGGAAACACATTGCTTGGACATCTAAACCTTAACATTATACTAGGTAAAATCATATAACCAACAGACCCTTTGTTGGCTCCTTGGCATCTACAAAAAGCCATCTAAAGTATTTGACTAGTTTTATAGAAAGATTATGCCATTATCCAGAAATAATACTTCAAAGATATCTTGTACATCACTGATGAAAGAAACTGCCTGTGTTGTTATAACTAATAGATGACTATTATAAAAATATCTTTTCAGTTTGAAGGTATTATTAAGCAGAGAATAAAAGGCAGGCACTGCCTGTAAGAATCTGGCTTTGTTTCATTTTTCATTTAAATCTGGAAATAGTATTTTATTTTTCCTTTCAGAGTATAGATAAAACAAATCCCAATCTAAAAAACATCATCACCAAGTTCTCAGTATGATAAAATTATCCATAATGCTAACTGGCTCGCTACACTAGAATGTAAAGGAATGAGATTTGCAACAGTGATGTCACTCAAAGTATTCTGTTTTTTGACAGGAAAGCTATTCTGATAATGAGATGTTAGGCACGACCTAAACCAAGATTTAGGAGTCTTTTAGATAAAACACTGGAGCAGAGGAGACACTGACGCTTATTTACACACTGTGCTTCCATGTTAAATCACCTCTAAGAAACTCCTTCAGAACCAGGGAGAGGAAGACAGCTAAGGATGGACTGGTTCCAATGCGCAAACTGTTCCTGTTTTCACAGCCTCAGAGGACTGCTCACCCCAAGCACACATACATCTCTTGAATTTATTCTGCATTTCAAGTATATAACATAAGCACAAGCATGATTACACGTGTGAAAGCCAATCGATTTTGGAACTGTGGGGCATTACTCGGCAACTCTTGTAGTTAACTGCAGGAAGTTTTAAGGAAATAAGGTGTCCAGCAATGCAAGATCAAAAGTTGAGAGTGTTTGTCAGCATGATACACTCTGAACATGTGGATATCTTTGGAATGACACTGATGTAATCACGCTGAGTTTAAGCGAACTCAAAATGGATCTCAAATTAGAGTACTTCAACACTAATCGCACCCACAAAGAAGCCCACTATATGCAGAACCTAATCAGCACCTAACATTAAAAGTGTTTCCTTAACCAGCTTCTACAGACAAAGATCAAAATCCTTAAAATACAATTGAACAGGGTAAAACAACTGTTGTATAGTTGCATATACATAATTTGAAGATCCATCTATATTTTTTCTTTTCTAGCCAAATCATTATCTAACAGAGGGAAAAGGTTAGGGTAAGGAAGAGGCAAAATGAAGGGTGAACAACAGTATTTAGAGCAGTAGGACAGGGCAGTACCTTTCTAACAGACAGAGATTTAGCGGGACTAAAGGCCTGCTCTGTGAGATCGAGCCCTTCAATAGATTCCGTACAGTCTGAGAGGGGAGCATCCTGCAACAGTAAATTGAGTAAACAGAGCAAACCGAGCCCGGGCTTTAAAACATCAACCAAAAGCATTATGATGCTCGCTAAAAACATGCAAAGAAACAGCAACTGGTAGATAAAAATGCAAGTGACAATGAACTGACATGCACACAACATGACACCCAACATGAGTAATGCTATGGTCATAAGACTTGCCAAACTTTTGAAAGTATATCAGAAAATACTTATCTGAGGCAACTAAAGCACTCAGATATAAATAGAGCTTTAAAGTCATTCACCTATACAGTATGACTGTATAGCTCTAATTCTTACTTTACTTTGAGCTATGATTTATAAAGTCCTTTGTGTAACCAGATATACTGCTTTTAAGTTTTACTGATGTAAAATAACTTTTTTTTTTCCCCAAACTGTTCTTCAAATAAAATATTATGAAGCATGATGAAACATATTTAACACACAACACTACTGCTCCATAGTGAGCCTGCTGTGCCCAGTATTAATACTTCAAGATACATAAACTTGGAAAACAAACAAACAAAAAGTTGTCACAAAGCCCAATCAGGTTCGAACAAGAATCTAACCCATATAAATAAGCCTTCTGAATTTCATGCATTACATTCAGCAAAAAAAACAACAGAAAAACAAGAAGCATCCTCTACAGACATGCTTGGCCTACATGGCTGAAGCTTCTTAAATTTCTGATCCTGAGCACTCTCGCAAAGACAACGGTGTTACCTCTAAGACTTACCTTATAAACAGTTACTCTCTGCCAATTAAAGAATAATTTTATAGTGATAAATCAGATGAAAGAAGATGATATTGTAGCTTAACTTTAAGCTAACAGTTTTAGGCATTTTATACTCTCACCTGTACAAGACTCCTGTCCACAACCACCCCAGAAAGAACCTGTGATTGGGGGCCCGCAGTTTTAATATCTTGTAAGTTTTGCTCTCGGATCTGTAAAGGAAAGCAGCAGAATAAAGTCATGTGAACAACAGAAAAGTGAACCACATTTTCGTATTTGAAAAAGAGGTGGGTGAACCTGCCAACAGGCTGCAACTAGTGCAGGCTGCTATGGCCCTACCCATCAAATAAAGCTGTGCTTACAAACACCACCTGAAGATACGTGCTCAGGTTCCTAGGGGTTTCCTCATATTTTGCAGAATTTTGTCTTTAAGTACCACAGCAGGTACTGCCTTCTACTGTTTAGTACTGGGTCACGGTAAAACTCAACAGATCAGGTAACAGACAACTCCAGCTTGTGAAGAAATGTGAGGAGAGAAGCAGAGAGGTCATATTTAACTAAGTCTGTTGTGCCTGATCAGTCATCTCCAGGTTTCTGTCACCAGCCCATTGCACCACAATACCATCTTCCTACAGAACTTACACTGCACAACATTCAATTTTGCATCCAGTCAGGACCATATTCTCAAAAGGACATACAAATATTTTTCTATGCATAACCTGACACTCCAGAGTTCTCAAAAACTTCCCCTTCATTGCATCTTAAATACCTCCCAGTTCTTTCCATACATAAGATGGGAACAGAAACTGCATATTTAAATCTAGGTTCTTATCTATTTAAATTAGATATCCTATAGCAGTAAAGAATTCATAACAACTGACTCAAAATTTATTTCTAAAATAAATCTTGTTCCAAGATAAATGAAGAAAAGTGTGCATCCAGAAAGAATTCTACTTTACAACTAAAAAGGACATTCAATTTATATAAAAATACATGCATACAAGTATAAAAACACAAGTTATTATTAATATTTGGTATTTCAGGAAGTCTGAAGATCCTGCATCACCTGTACTTGTTTCTAGTTTCCTACCCTTCTTGACATCAGGAAAGTAAAAATTTTGAAGTTTTACTTCTCTCCTCTTAGTCGCTTCATGCAAGTTTTTAATACAGCAATATTTGTGCTTCAAACACCAAGAAACTACTTGGCAGTTTAACCAGACTTCAGCAATTTCAAGTGATTATTACTTTACAGTGCTGAGTCAGGAAAAGCAGTAAGCTCTGCCAACCTCATACAAATTATTTTAGCATAAATCAGTATTCCTGCTAGTACTCCTGCACACCGACTTTCCCGTGACATAACACTGACTTTCATGTTCCACGTGGCCGTCAGTTAGAAGTAGCAAAACAATCCAGAACAAGTTAAGTGTTAACAAGATACCAGTGCATATTTTATACTAAAAAAAAAAAAAAGAAGTGAAAAACCCCCAATGCATTCAATGCTTTCCTGGTGGTAGACTGGTGACAATAAGATCTGAAATGTGAAGACTGGAAAATTGACTGCTAGGTCATTTCAAAAAGATTATCATGCAGTTCCAAAGGCCCTCGAAAATTCTGCAATAATCACAGCATTATTACAATAAAATATGACATGGAGAGATTTGTAGACTTCTTTGTGTAGGCTACAATTTCAGCTGGTGAAACCAAACCAGAAAACCAGGTCGCTAACGTAGGACTATGATCTCAGGGAACAGAACTCCTACCATAAACTCAGTGGTGGCTGTTTCAGAGGTATGCAGCAACTGGTCTGACAGTGACAAAATAAAAGAAAATGAAAGTCTTCATATAATGGACAGTAAAGCCATCTTTTTCCAAGATGAGTTACGAATATTTAGGAACTGTCTCAGTATTTAGTTATAAAAGGGCAGGACAAAATTGGAACTGTTACTGAACCCCCAAAAATTCACAAAGTTAGTTAGTTCATTACAAGTACGGCATTTAATTGTAGCGATGACCAAAAAAAGTTACTTTACTGCTATTACAAACCTTGTTCCTCATTTCTTGGACCTCCTTTGGATTGGTGTTCAATGGAACAAACAGGTTAGGGACAGCAGAGGTGGCAGTTCTATGTCCATCCTCTTTAGTCCACTGTAACATCAAGAACAGTTGAACAGTCAGAATGGTTGCAATGAGACTCAGAGCAGCAAATTCACATAAGAGTTTTTTCATGCATTATACATAGCAGAGAACTGAACCAATGATTTTATTCTTCTATTCATTCCTAAGACTATTAAAGTTGCTTCCTTCTTCAGTAATATAAACTGTACCTCCAGATACATTTATAAGTATCAGAATCATTCTTTTAAGTCAAGCTAGTGACAATAACAAAAACTAGAGAGCCAGTTAACTTGGAAATAACTTCCACCCTAAACAATGCAATTACTACAGCTATGTGCAATTCAGAGATTACGGAGAGCGAAAGATTTTTAAGCTGCTTTTCTGTGCACTTGACCACACTGACAACTGCGGTGTTTCACGTTTCTAAAAACAGTCTACTTCTCACTTTATGAGCAGACTTATTAACACAGGAGTAGGACAACTCCAATATAGTTACTTATTTTTAAGGGCATTTTTATCAGAAATTTCACAAGTTCATATTTGTTTAAAAAGGACACTATACCTTACCCAACAGAAGTACAGCAAGTACGAGCTTTAAAACCCTGTTAATGTCATTTTCATTGCCTGCACTGGGTGTTTTCACAAAATAGCACGAGAGAGACAAAGAGATCATTGATTCAATCCTCCGATACTCCACAGACATCAAAGCCAACTGAAAGCGTAAGATGACAGAAGTATGGAAAGCAATGTGATGTCTCTACCCAGGTTTAGTGAATGGTTCTGTACTGTGAAGCAAGAGTGGGCATCACCAAAGTTTTGCATTAAAACAAGCTACTTCAGCAAAATGGTCTGTTTCCAGAATTAGTTTCTGCACAAACAAATAGCTGTAACAGCACAGCAACCTAAAGGAACAGTTTGGTGATGTCGAAATATTTTATAACTCATAGCTCAAAAGGTTACAAAAATATCCCAAACACAAACTTGAAGCGCTTCATGGGTTCTTCATAGAAGGTTGCTTTATTTGATCAGTGCATTTAGTATGGAGCTCTGTTTAATTCAATGTATGACTGACTTTTTCTCTTGGTATCTTTATTATATGTGGTGTCCTAATTTCCGATCACTATTGCATAGAAAATGCACCGAACAGTAAAGCAAACCTGTTTATAGAGCAAATGCTATGCGTTTTTTCCTGAGTAACTTGAAGAAACAATAAGGTAGCCAGAAACTGTCAAACTTCAAAAAAGCAACAGAATTTTAAAATGTTTTGCAACTGTAAAGTAAAAAAATGGAATGAACATGGAGCTGTGAAATACTCACTGATGATTATCTTCTCAGATAAAAACTACTCCAGCTTTTTATTAAAGATAGTTTTTAGTCAAAACATATATAAAAACAACCTCAACATAACAAGCTACTTTAAGGTTAGTAACAAGCATTCAGAAAAATTTAAATACACAAACCTGTTATACTGTACGAAATTTCCTACCGCTTGAGTATATAATTAAACAAGACTCCTTTCTGAGCAGGAATTTTGCTTCAATCTTTCACTGATAATTTCAAAATATAAAATACTACCCACTTTGTGAGCTAAGGCTGAAAAGCACAAACACATGCTTAGCTTTAAGCTTTCTTCCAACCAAGGCAAAACTATAGTTGAGTTTAGCAAAATGTTGATAGTACAAACAATATATGTATATAGTAATTTCTTAAACCAAAAAACACCACAAAAACACCACAGAGAGAGAATCTCTGTTTTTTGAGGGCTTTCTATATGTTAACACTGTATGTTCTAGTACACACATTGCCTGGGTAATCATTCCATAGGAGTATGTAAAATATAGAGAACTCTGAATGTAGCAGAGTTTTGTAGGAGCGAATAAGAATGAAGAAGTGCTCTGGAAAACAATAATGTGTATTTTTTTCCTTTCCAAGAGTACTAGTTTGTCAGGTTTTTTAAGACTCACCTGTAACCATACTACTGCTACTACACATAGTACCACTACTGACGTACTACTGAACTACTACAGTTCAGCTTGAAGTCAACCATTACAAAAGCTTGTATGAGTGCAAATCCCTGCCTCCATTTTAGATGCTCTGTATATGCCCAAGAAAATATAAAAACCACAGTTATATACCAACAGCTACTAATGTTCACCTGAAAGCATGTGATACTTTTGCTTTTCAATTAACAGATCTTTCAGTGCAAATTTTAACTGTAAGCAGCATTGATAAACAAAATAAAAAAGCACCGGTTGCAGAATCTATCGATTAGTGCCTGCTGATGGCCTGAGCTGCACTTTAGTCATGCCGCACCCAGCTGATACTTTCGGAAAGACTTTCCATTTATGGCCATCTACTTACATGCAACACTACATGCAGAAGGCAGCTGGTTGTGAACACTCAGAGGCTTTGGGGTAGACAAAAGCATAGTAAACAGGACAGGAAGAGAAGCTGAGAAACTAGCGAAGAAAAACTGCTTAAGGGAAAAAAAGAGCATTTAAATACTTTGAAATCAATTCTACCCTCTTGTACATAGATAGCGTTGCAAATGGCTTGCAAATTAAGTTGGTATATGTAACAGACGGTAGAAATTTGATTATTTGTATCTATATTTGTACAAAAGCACATTGACTAGTTAGTTTCACTTCTGTTTTAACTGAAAAGCTTTCATGCAGATAGAATTAGTAGTTCCCTAACACAGTTGCCCTTAATTAAACCATTTAAATGCAGAATCTATTCAGTCAAAACTATGATTCAGTCTTCAATCTGTCATTAGTTTGAAAAGCCAAAAGAAAACCAGAGATTCCAAAGTCCTAAGCAGTTTTAAGCATTAACAAAAGAGATTATTTTCACAGCTCACATCTAATCAAAGTCAAATTAAGTGGTTAGTAAAACAGATTTAGGTGTTTTTTTCTCTAAGAAAGAAAAGCATTAGAAGAGTTATCTTTTTCTTCCCAAAGCCTCTAAGTGCCAGCCACCCCAAGTTGCTCTACATCATCTAACTATGAACAGTAAGGTAGGCACAGACCAAGCAGTTGGTAATACAGCTTGGCACGCAGACACCGGACGAGAGAGACTGCAGCAAGGGTTTCACGTGATCGTGTGTAATGTTCGTCCACACCTTAGTCTTCGACTTGGGACTGCTGCCATTCTGCCCTTCTTCAGAAGCATCATCCCCTCGGCCAGAGTTCAGCCACCTTGTCTTCTCTCGCTGCTGTTTCTGAAAACTGTGTCTGAGGGGGGAGCAAGTGCCTGATTCGCCATCACTAGTAAAGGAGTAACCTGTGACACTAGCTGGGATCTCAACATCGCTGTACTTTTTAGATTTCTCTCTCAGAGCAGGGCATCGATATGGATAGCCAGTTCTGTAACCCTGAAGAAGCAGAACAGCACAGTTAGTCTTGTATATCTCCAAGTTTTTCAACAGATTTTGAATTCTGGTTTGATCAAGACCCTTAATTGTGAAAGCCATTTTACAACACAGCCTTTTCTTTACCTGCCACATCAAAGGTGGATGACACACAGTAATGAGGCTACACTAGCATCTTTTCCAATCTAGTAAACTTCTGAACCTCTAATTTACATGAGTCACCATTTTGGTAGATCAAACTTCAAAAATTTTGTATCAAAGTTTTAAAAAGAATCCTGCAAAAAGCCACTGAGGTCATCAAGAAATTCATGAAGAGCAGTGCTATAGGTCTGCCTCTTACACTCAAGCAAAAAGCTTACCACTTGTGTAATGATGTGTCAGATTTAAAAAATTAATCATTTTCTATTTGACTGTACAGGTATACTAGACAAATATTTCAGGACCAGTTCTAAAAATAACACATTAGCCATAACAGTTTATCAAACTACTCTCCTCTCAATATCTGGATTTTAAAATGAGGGACTCATGCATGAAAATTTCAGTTCCCCTCAGGATGAAAGTACATATTCAAATAGGCATTATATCATTACTAAGTGGACAGTTACTTTCCAGCCTGCATTTAATCAGGCTATAGAGCTACTGGGGTTTTTAATTTAGCGCTCTATCACAGCAGCACAGAAGGTATAATCATAAACTTATGCACTGTAAAAGTCTTAAGAATGTACTTTTTGCAGGAAATTTCTGAACTTAAGTTTTGTAAATTATACTTTAGGAAAGAATTTTACTTTAACATTCAGAACAATGAAGGCTGATCGTTGTAACTACATAAATGAAAGCGTGTGTTTTAGTGACAGCTATTGATTAAATTATCAGTCCTGCCCTCTCTTTTTGACAGTTCTTCCTATGGACAATAGTATACCATTAAACTGCAGCAAAGCAAGCTAAGTTTGAATTTGGGGTGCATTTAAAGTATATATGCTTTGTGGTAATTGTCTACCTATACACTTCTTCAGAAGCTACGTTTTTCCCCTGGGGGGTGGGGAAGTATACTGGTATTTCTCATTGAATTTTCAATTTCCAGTTCCAGTCTCTGGAGCGGGATTTAAGACCTTTATTAATTTACTTCAAGTCTGTCTTTTGAGCTCTTCCAGGTTCTGAGTCTTACAAAGTCAAATAATGCTAGACTCTGCACCTGACAAAACATTAACACTGTTTTACACATTTTGGGAGGGGATGGGAACAGAGGGGAGGACACAGACTAGGGAGCAGCAAGCACAACAGTACTTTCATTTGGAAGTGCCAAATGACATGAGGATCCCCTCTGACTTCACCAATAACTACCAGATTATGAATACAGAAGTACATCTGCTATCTGCACACAGACACCTGAAGAATTCTGTAAGATCTGTGATGCTTTTCATACTGTCTTTTCCTCTGAGGGCCCTTAACCTTTGGGAAAGAACAGGCTGCAGGCTGTTTGAACTACCCCAATTACATGCAACCCAACTGATACCCTTTATTGCAGCTTTTAAAGTATTTTATACATTATCAAATGAAAGAATTATATAAAAAAGCCTGCCTTACCAGATTATCAAGCATTCGCATAAGAGCTTCAAATTCCTGTTCGCCAATCTGCCATTTTGGATGGGATACAGTACCCTCACCTGCTGGAGACTCGGGGGAACGAGACTTGGCTTTATACTTTCCAGGATCTAAAAGCACTAAATTGTCAGGTCCACCTGCACTGGCCAGTGTACGTACCTTAAAAACAATAAAGTCATCTTTTAGTTTCTTGAGGTGGGGAAAATCAAATAAACAAAAATAATTAAATAAACCAATAACAACAAAAAATAACATCAGCAAAACAGAAGAAATCTACTTAATTTTTAAATTTAAATAGATTAACAGATTTGTGTAAAAGCTGTCTTAAGGCTTTGAAAATATCACTGTTCGAATAGGCAGTATGTATCAATTTGATGGTTCCAATACAGTTTTTGACTATTGTTGGTTAAACCAATGTTTTGCATGTCCTCACATAATACAGTGATTTCACAGATCACCAGGTTAGTTTAGATTTAAGAGTTTAACCAGTAAAGCATGCAACTATTAATCCATTTGAAGGTTAATATAGCAGACTGCACTATTACTTAACATATTACAATTCTTACTTGAATCTCACAGGCAAGCACTAGGTTATGAATATAGTAGAAAGCCTCCTCAACAGTCTCCCCAACTGATACCAAGCCGTGATTTCTGAGAATAAGGACCTAGAGAGACATTGCAAAGAAAGTTAACAGCAGTAAGGCAAATGCTTTCTTGCTCTTAAAGAACCCCCCCATCCTCCCACATACTTTTCTTTAATTCCAAATGTAAATACTGACCTTGCTTTTAGGCCCCAAGTTTTTCTGAATAACCACCTTTTCTTCATCATCCACTAAAATACCATGGTAGTCATGATAAGCTACTTCTCCTAGAGAAAGTGCTTCAGGTGAAATTGGCAAGAGACCACACTTCATTGCAGAAACCTGAGAAATGTTGAAACAACTACCTTAATTCCTTGCAACAGAAAAACAGGAAAAAATCATAATAAAAATATTTTACATATTATATGTGTCTGCGTACAAGCACATACTTAGTGGACTTACACTCCATCCCCAAATCCTCTGATTTTCACGACTTTTGGACTGGATACAAAAGGCACATTGATCTCGGGTCTGACTCAGTATGGCTGCTTTTATATGACATCAACACCAACATCAAAAGACTCAGGAAAAAAAACAAACCAACCCCAAAATCAACTGCATCCTTCATTCCTTTCACTCCACTCAGTGACTTCCCAACACTGCTTCCCCAAAAGCAGCAATTTAGTGACATACTTTGACACAGGTAATTCCACAGCACTGCAGGTAAAGTTAAGAAATCTTTTTAAAGATTTAAATCTATAATTCACTATTTTAGGAATCTGATCATTTATCATTAACATTGTCGTATCACTGCTATTAATCAGTTTTTAAAAACCCAACCCCTTCTCCCTCCCCCTCAAAAAAACCAAACCAAAACAAAACAAAACCAACAAACAGTGTGAAGCTTGAAACAGAGTCTCAAAAAATTCCAAAGAGGTAAAACTGATTGTAACCAGTTGCTCTAATGAGAGGTATTGAAAAAGTTTAAATTTTTTTAAGAAAACCTTAATAAGTGGTGCTTTACAAAACCAACAAAATATGCTAAAGCTCTTATGACTCACTGTCAAAAGATATGGCCTTTTGTGGTAAAGGACACACAAGCATGAAATATGTATTTTGCAACTTCAGAGCTCAATTTACTGTCTGACCACTCATGTTACAACCAAGTAAGAAGGATGTGACTGATTCAAACAGAACCACATATTTGAAGGCATACTTAAAAGCTCTGTGCCCATCAGAAAGGGAGCGATCTAGGATTAAGGAGAACCCACCTATTTTCCAGTCGGGTGGAGCAAGGCGAACAGGACAGATGACAAACTAAAAAGTGTGCTTACCGCTGCCCCTGCTGGCGTATGAATATGAACAATGCATTTAACATCAGGTCGAGCTGCATAAATTGCAGAGTGCAAAGTAAAACCAGCTTGGTTTACTCCCAAGTTAGTGCTTCCACGATCAACTACATCTCCCTGAATATTGATTTTAACCTAGGAACGAAAAGAATTAGTTTCATAAATCAATTAAGACTGCCAAAAATCTGATTTAATTCAGCATCTACAACTGAAGCTCTAAAACTCATTTCTTTCAGTCTTTTATTTTAACAAGCATCAAAATGTGCACTATAAGGCTGTAGGCAGGTGACCAGGGTCCCAGCTTGCGATTAAGCTAACTGAAGAGGAATCAGGAGCTACCAGATATGACACGAGAAATCGCTGCATGTAACAGGTAACGGTGCAAGAAGCTGACAGAAGTTACAGACAGCGCTGTGACAAATGGCTGCATTTCAGAGAGCTACGGTGGAGTTATAGAAGCAGCTTGCAAACTTCACAGATACCTGAAGAGGAGTATTGGGACCTTTTGGGAAGTAGGTTCTTGGAATGCCAGCCATAGGCAACCATACCACTGATACCATGTAAGGCTGAGAGTGCCCAGGTAATACTACTATAAATATCAAATTTGGATATGGACGTAGCAAAACTG